TTTGATATGTGAATTTGGATTGAAAATTTAGATTTAAAATCTCACATTTAAAATTCATAAATTATAAATTATTTATTTGGATGATATAAAACATTTCAAATGATAATATTAAAATCCTTTATTTGGCTCTTAAATAAAATTCTAAAATTTTAAGTTTCAAATTCTATGTTTGAATTTACTAGCAACTCAAATAATGTCGATGGTTTGGTCCGGATCTAGGATGGTGGCCTGGTCTCGATTGACTTCAACTATTTGAATCCAAATGAAGTTATTGATCTGGTCTCTATCAGCAGCAGTGGTATAGTTCCTGAAATTTTTGTAAGTTAATTCCCAAACATTGACTTTTACAACTCAATAATTTTATTTTTAGTGATTTAAATATTGGTCCCTATATCTTAAAAAATAAAATTACAAAAATTAAAATCATATTAAAATTTATTACTAATATTTTAAATTGCTAAACCCTTTAATTTTAATCTTTATAAACATTATTAATATTAAAAGTTTAAAATATTTTTAATTTTTATAATTTTTAAAATATAAGGATCAATATTTAAATGGTTAAAACTATAAAAATTGAATTGCAAAAAGACAAAGTTCAAGGATTGAGTTATAAAAATTGGGTTATAATAAGTTAAAATTTAAAACTTGAGTTACAATTGAATCAAATTTATTGAGATCAAATAATTAACTTTTCTTATAATAAATCCAAATCCATAGTTCAAGATTTGAAAGTTAGGGTTTGGTAGAAATGGTTGAATTTTTTGTATTGTCCAAGCTTAGGCTTGCCGTATTATTCCCCAAAAAACTAAGAAAGAAAGAAAGGAATGGTAGTGCATAAGCCAAAAAAGACAACCAAACAAAGGACTTTTGATAAAAAGATAATAAAATATTAAAAATAGGGGCATTCAAAATTGAGCTAAATCAAAAGGACCAAACTAAATTGACCCAAATCGAAAAAAACCGACAATCAATCAAGTCTATTTTAATTTTTTATGACATACAAACTGATTGATTAGATTCATGTTTTGGTTTTGAGCTTTGAAAACCAAATCAAAACTCAATAAATTAAAAATTATTTTTTTTATTCATGTGTTGACTTGTTTTCCTCTTTCATTTTAGGTGTTATGACTCAAATAACAATAGATTGATGCTTGAAATGGAATGATTTTTTTATTTATAATTTTAAGCATATGAATATATCTATTTAGTTTAAGGATAAGTTGTAATTAAATATATCAGTTGTTTTAATAATAGACAGTTGGTATAGTTTAAGTAGATATTATGATATTGAGAGATGTATGTTATGTTTTGAATATGTGTGTGTGGAACTATAGATATAAGTATTAATATTAAATAGTATGATATTTGAAATTTTGAATATTTAAACTTGAGATATTTGTTTTTTTACTACTTGCTATTAGGTAATGAATTTTTTCCATGAAGATTCGAATAATACATCTAATATAATCATGAAGTTAATCATTTGATCACCACATATCATCATTTTGATTTCCACTGTTTGTAATCATAAAATTATTTTTCATTATATATATATATATTGAACAGCACAGGAGAATTGATGAGATTATGAAAATACAGTATACTCAAGACTAATGAAATGAATAGATGAATAAAATTAATATAACATGAACATATGTTCTTATCCTTGATTTATTTGAGACCAAGCCAAAAATAAATAAAAATTAAAAATGAGAATGAACTTATATATATAAGATCGGTGATTAATCAAGGACCTGCTACAAATATGTCATAATTGAAATAAAGTATGAGGTTAGCAAAGACCCTCATACAATAAAAAAAACCAGTAATGCATGAATCAATTTAAAAGAAATTCAACTATTATAAAAATGGAAAAAAAGTCAAATAATTTCATTGAAGCTTGATTCAAATCTTAACCAAATCAAAAATAAAACTAAACCAAACAATTGTCACAAAAACTGATTGATTTTCGTTTGGTTTGGTTTTGAGCCCCTGAACACTCCTAATTGGGGCTTTGCTTTCTTTCTATCTTTTTTTTTTTTTCTTTCCATTGCATTGATCTCCACTTCTCATTTAAATGCCTTGATTAAATTAGAGGGGTTAACCGTTTCATATTTCATTAAACTATTATTAAACTATTTAGATGAAATAAATAAATAAATAAATAAATTTAATCATTAAAGTTTGATTGCTCAGAAGTCCGTTTGAAAAAAAGGAAGAAAAATTCATTTTATAAAAACATTTTTAATAATAATCCTTCTACTACAATTATGAAATGCTTAGATCAAATTTTATAATTTATTTTTATTTATTTTAAAATTTTAAATTTTTCTAGTTTTTGCAATAAGAAGTAAATCCCCATCTCAATGATGGTGTTATAAAGTTATCATAACATATTTTGTCCAAAGTTTCCATATAACTTTTAAAATTTCATATAACTAATTGGTAACTAGCTAAATATTTAAATGCACGTTTATAACAAAAAAAAAACATCTGTATTATATAAAAAATTTTATAATATACTATTATATAAAAAATTATATAATTGAAGATAATAAAAAAATTATATATTATTATAATTGAAGATAATTCATATTTACAAATTTAGATATTATTAAGTCAAAATAATTTTCAAGGGCTGGGGTGCTTTGGAAAAAAATAATATTTATTATAAAAAATATTAATAATAGTAATTATTGAAAAAAATACCAAAATATAAATTTTAAAATACAAAATTTCTCCTAATCAAAGTTTCCATATCTTCTCTAACCACATCTCAAATTGAATTTAACAGTTATGTTACTAACAATAATAAATAAAAAATTAATGCTGGGAATTAAAATAAGTAAAAAATTTCTTATGCTTTGAAGATTCGCAAATAAGTTTCATAAATATAAGTTGAAATTATTTTTTTTAATCAATGAAAAAAATGTAATAATTTTTTAAAAATAAATATTTTTAAACTATATAGATATAATTTTTTAAAAGTGATGATTTCAAAATTATATTCCATTAATTCTTTAAAAATAATTATTTTTTGAAACATATTGATTTAATTAAATTTAATACTGTATTTTTTTTCATTTGTGTGAATTTGAAATCCGCGCAACTTTATCTTTATAAGAATATATTTTGTAACTTATGCAACACCATTAATTTTAAGATATTATTAACAGATTTTATATTAAGATTATAATAATCAATTATATTTATCTTGGTCCTTGAGCCCAATTTTAATTTTTATGATCCTTTAGAATGAATATTATTTTCTTGGCAATAATTTTCCCTATCTTTAAACTGAAACGTCCGTCGGTGGTTATTTCTTTTTTAAAAAATAAAGATATCATTCAAAATTTGAACTTGACAAACGTAAAAGAAAACCCAAAAAAAAAAAAATCTTAAGACACTACGCATTTGTTAAGACTTAATATTTACTTTTAAGTGGGTCCAAACCAAAAAAACCCACATGTCAGACTCCAAAAATGGCAAGCACACCTTCTAAGAGAGCACGAATTACTGTTAAAATTAAAACTGAATATCTACACAAATCATCAAAGCGATTTGCATTAGTAGTAGATACGTAGATAGAAGTAAATATAAAGAGAATGAATTTAAAATTTGATAAAAAATGAAAACCGTGAATTTAAAAAGATATTTACACCTAAGAAAATGTCTCATAAATAAACATTTTCATAAAAACTCAAACGTTATGAGAATTGGAAAACAAAGTTTGCCATGATAGTTATTAGTAATACTCCTTCCATTTAAAAATGTAAGGTATTTTTAACCGAATCTCACCCTTTAATAAAATAGTTATTTACTTTTCAACTAACCTTATTTTTTATATTTATTCCTATTATACATCTTACAATAAATATAAAGTCATTATCAATAGAGACACTTTAAAAAAAAGGCAATGATTACACATCAAAAGATTAAAAATGCTTTATATTTTTAAACATTTAACTTCTTAAAAAATGTCTTATTTTTCAATGGAGGGAGTAATTGAAGCTTAAAATTTCTTAGAGACACTATAATAGTGACTGCTGTATAATTTCTGCAGGTGAATGGATTAATTTATATTAAATAATATTCTTGTCGTATTATTTTAAAAAAAATATATTATTATTGCATTTACTTAAAAAAAAGAATACAAAATTATATTACTATCTTTTCTTGGCCAAGTATTTCTATCTTTTCAATCTATTAAAAGTTGAGTTAATTTTTTTGACAACCATATTAAAGATATGCGGGATCAATCCAATTTCCTTATATTTAAAATGCAAAGCCTAATATTCCACTCATAAAAAATAGAATCGTTGAAATATTTAATTACTTATATCCTGTATTCTCAAAATTGAGATAAACAACTTAGAGAATAATATATGGTTAGCCATGAAACTGGGATAGTACATGGAAACCGCTGATGATACCAAATCTTTCATTATAATCTGCCAAAACGGATTTGAATCTATCATTGTGCTAATCTAAGTACATGATAAACTCAACCACTTCAAATACATAACCCACAAAATACAACAAAGCTTTTTTCCGAAACTAACGGTTCAGAACGCGTAGCTTTTACCGGAACAAGAAATAAGCAAATCAGTCTTCATATGAGTGACGAATGATTATTTGACCATCTTTCTTAAATTTGGAGGCCATCATCACCATATGCGGGTTTACCAGTTACACAACTTAATGCAGTATAGCTAGCCGTCTGATCTGAAGCATTTGAAGAGATAACGATACTGTCTCTTATGGAAGATTAATTACGCTCTTTCTCTAGAACATCACCAATTTCCCCGCACGAAATTTCCTTCGCTTGGTTCACACATTCGTCACTTGCCTCTTTTACTTGTAGGACGAGATCACAAAAGAAAGCCTGACTCGATCCCGTTTCTTCTTGCTAAACTCTTTGATTTACACTGACATCAATACGCGTACACAACAGATATAGAGAGAGGGAGGGAGGGGATCAGAGATTGAGAGACATCATGGGAGGTTTGAAGGAATGGTTCATGTCGTCCAAGGTTGTGATGGGTATGTTAATGGTTCAAATTTTCGCCACAGGGATGCAGTTGTTGTCGAGGGTGATTCTGGTGCAGGGTACTTTCATTTTCTCACTCATTGCTTATCGCCATGTCGTAGCTACTCTCTGTGTCGCCCCTTTTGCTTTCTACTTTGAAAGGTACATGCTTTTTCTTAATATTTCATCTTATCATGGTATTGAAAATTAGGCCCATCATTTGACCGGTCGCTAACTCAAGTATTAATGAAGTGTGTTCAGAACTTTTACGAACAAAACATTTTATTGAACCCAAGATTCACTGTTCAACCAGTTGAATTGATCCTATTTTGTTTATTCATTCATCTTTCTGAATATTCCTTTTCAGCATCCACAATAATATTTTGCTGCCTTCTCATTTTGTTGAATGTTGCTGCAGAGGCCACGCTAAGAAGTTGTGTTGGTCGGTCTGGTTCTTGGTTTTCCTGAATTCATTAGTCGGGTGAGTCATCTTCCTTAATTAGTCAATCATTTCGTGGGCCCTATTCATGAATATATCTACATATATTTGCATTTTGCATGAGATGTTACATTCTGAGAGTTCCTCTCATCTTCCTTTTTTCTGCATCTTGATCCATCCTTCAGCTTCACTTCTTAGTTACCCCAACACAATACTAATAGTAAATAGGCATGATAATAGATTTACCGAAGAAGCCATCCTAGCTAGCTAGGGATTAGGATTAATTAGGACCCACTCACTGAATGTTTTAGTGTGATTATTCACTTTCTTGGCTGTGCTGGGAACTACGCATAATATGTTTTGCTATGTACATGAGTGGGGATAGGTCTTTGAGTCTTATTTATCGGGATTGGTAGTTGAGATTGAATTAATTAAGCTAATGCTAAAAAATATAGCTAAAAACAAAGATAAGACTTTCTTGAACATACATCTTTTCTCTGCTTTTATTTTTATTTTTATTTTTTTTAATTACAAGGAGAAACAGAGCAACAAAAATCAACACTAACCTAACTAGACAATCTCTTTTTATCATCCTCCATCTTTACACAAAAAGATAATGGTTGATCAAAAGTATGGATTACACCTATTTTATCACAAGCAAGTTTAGCCAAAAAATGAGCACAGAAATTGGCTTCCTTATACATAAGATTCAAAAAAATAACCCAATCTTTACAGAGAAGAACTTGAACCTGGGAATAATATCAAAAAAAGGATGTTGATCATTGTTGCAACGAAAAAGCAAATTCAAAACATCAGCACAATCAGTGAAAACGCTGATATTCCACATTCCTTTCTCCTAGCACAAAAGAAGGCCATGAACACTTGTCAGTAATTCAGTCATAGCAATAGAATAGTGACCAACACAGCTAAGATCCCTATCTTCTTTTGTTATGAACAAAGCTATAAAACATGGGAAACGGAACTCTCCTTTTCCCTTATTCTCCCTTTTCCTTCTTTTCCTTTCATGATCAAAATTCTCAACAGTTCTGATTTAAACTCTCTTTTTTTTTTTCAAAAGAAAAAAAGGAAAGGTTCCTCTCTCCCATAAAACACGCATGGTTTAAGAGTTTTGTGAGGGAAGTTTCCGCATCGGTGTTGAAAAAAGGGCGGAAACAGACTCATGTTTTATAGATGAATGTGCTCATTTGTAATACTCAAATTCTCACTTACAATCTCCCTGATCTATCTTTTCTTTCAGTTTCATTATTATATTACTTAGTATTTTAAATTCTTAGAAATATATTTGTGAAAAATCTTAAATAGATAGAAATACACTTTATTAAAGATGATGATGAGTAAGAAAATTGAAGAGCCTTTGTTCATATAAAATTGTCAACATAAATTAACCAAAATATTTTTCATGGAAACGTAATCACAAGACTAAATGTATAGTCATATAATTTCAAATTAATGAATATGGAAGAGTGCAAATTTGGTTTTCTATATACTTGTTCCAGTCTAAATTATAAGGCATTTTCAATTAATTTTGCATATTAATAAAAGTAGTTATTTCATTTTTACTATAAAAAGTGGGAAGAAACGTTTAGTTAAATTATATTTCATATACTCAAATAAATTAATACAATGGTAAATTTAGAAAAATAATTTTGAAAAGTACCAAGTGCCTTACATTTTCAATCAAACTTAGTTAAAAAAAATGCCTTACGATTTATATATTAGTCACCCACAAGGCTAGAATAAATTTATACTCTTATATTACTCACTACATGAAAGTGGAGAATTAATTAGCCTTTTTTTTTCAAAAATGATATTTATTTACACCTATCAAGGGCTTGCCTTTTTAAATATACATACACACTTTTAAATAAGGATAGATTTTAAAAATTATTTTACTTTTAGATTATTTTAATAACTTAACTACTTTTCCTTAATTTATTTGATGAGATAATTAGGAGTGTCGTACATTTAACACGCCTGATGAAGAAAATTTTCTAACTATAAAATGCCACTATTTTCAGGATAATGATGGCTATGGGATTCTTCTATTATGGTCTGCGAGACACTTCAGCTACTTACTCCGTCAACTTCCTCAATTTGATTCCCATAATCACTTTCCTAGTCTCCATCACATTCAAGTACGTGTGTGCGTGTGTGTAGACACGCAGAGACAGACACTCACGAAATGCTCTGCCATCTCACGCAATATAATTACAACATATAACAAGCATTGATTCATAAATGATTGCAGGATGGAGAAACTAGGACTGAAGACATGGAGCGGTAAAGCCAAGGCCATTGGGACAATTATATGCGTTGGAGGAGCATTAACGACCAGCCTTTACACAGGAAAGGAATTTAACACAGGTCACCATAGTCGTCATACATCTCACACTGCTTCAGCAGAAGCACCCAAGGCTCACATGCTTCGAGGCACTCTCTTTCTAGTCGCTAGCTGCTTCTCATATGCAGGATGGTTTATTGTCCAAGTAAGCTTTCTACCCATTAATTGGCCAATGTTTCTCCCTCGAGGTTCTGACAATGCATGGTTTCGATCTCTATGTAGAATAGAAAGAATTTGCGTTACTGTGATAGTCTTCCTACTTAATTAGATTGCTGTTGGCTTTGAAATCAAGCAGGTGAAGTTGCTGAAAGTTCTTCCATTGAAGTTTTGGGCAACGATGTTGACATGTATGATGGCGTCAATTCAAGCTGCAGTAATAGGGCTATGCATCGACAGCAGCAAAGCGTCTTGGTCTTTAGGCTGGAATATGGAGCTAATCACTATAGTGTACTCGGTAACATTTATGAACTTGGAGCCATAATTGAATCGAGATTGTCAGTTTCAGAGATATTTTCTTTGTTCTGAATCTGATTCATCAACTACTATGAAAAAACGCATGGAATTCGTTTGTACAGGGGGCACTAGCCACAGGTGCAACATTCTGCTTAATATCGTGGGTGGTTACATTGAAAGGGCCCACCTATCCTTCAATGTTCAATCCGCTGGCTCTCATCTTTGTGGCCTTTTCAGAAGCTATTTTACTTGGTGAACCCCTCAAAGTTGGAACGTACGTATGATCATTCTTACCTTCTAGATTGCCTTTTCTTAAGATTATCTTTGATGTTAACATTCGATATAAGCATTGGCTTCACAAGTCTAACGTAAGAATCTGGTTGCAGCTTGGTGGGCATGGTTTTGATCATTGCTGGCTTGTACTGCTTCTTGTGGGGGAAAACAAGGGAGACACGTAGCTTGGCCCATTCAAATGAAGCAGCTGTTGAAGTTTGCACGGTCATGCCTGCTGATTCTGTTGGTTTGCAATTAGCAGCCAGAGTAGTTTCAAGTTCTTCATCCAACAATGCTGTTATCGACATAGAAAATTCTCATGCGATCAAAAACAACCTTGATTCCTAAAACTATACTGAAGAGTGGTCGGGGAGCCAGGCATGGTTATTAATATTAATATTTTTCTCAGCAAGTGATGAATGTACTTTTGTTTTCTTGAGAAGAACAAAGAGAGGGATAACCATGCGTATCATTAAACTGTAAATGAGAAGGACTGTGCTTATAAATTTTGACCTTGATTACAACAGAGACTCATAAATGCTTGTTCAACAATACAATGAAGCTCTGGTGAATTGAGAGCAACATAACAGTAAACCAGCTCTTCCATTTCATCCTAATTACGAACTCCCACTTTGAGAATCATCTTAAGAATTGATTCTCTTATATCAGTGAAGGGGTTCTCAGAATAACTCACTACACACAAACTATCTGCAAAATCGCCACGAACATCACTCGGCAAGCTAGCAGAAAAGCTCGTTTTCCTGCATCTACTTGATATTCTCTCTTGTCGCTTCATAGCCATCTGTGCTTCGCTGTAGAAAACTAGTCCCATTACATGAGAAAACTGAAACTTTGCATTCTTATAGTTGTATATGTCAAGAGGCGCAAGAGGAGCTTAATTACCTCGAGAATTGAATGCTAGCGTTGCAGACATATGAAGCCTAGAAGCCATTTAATCCAGCAATGAGTATCAATGAAATCCCTATGACCGTTTTTATTGGGTATAAATATAATAAATTCGAATCCACGGTCCTGGAATTTGAAAGTTAGGCTCTAATAGAAATGACCGGGCGTTAGCTAAAAAAGACGACAAAACAGGAGCATTTTGGACGAAGACAAGAAAAACAGAGGAGAGAATCTAAGTTACAACTTCGTAAGTCGTAACAATGACAATATATGAAAATGTCAATATGACTATATAAGGACTAACATCTTATGCCCTCCTGCGTTATTATAAACTATTATTTTTGTTTTAAATTATAAAACACTTTTAAATAAAATCTCATATATTAATAAATTTTATTAAATACACTTAAAAATTATTATAAAATATTTTTAAATAAAATCTCACATATCAATAAACTTTATTAAATACACTTAAAAATTTTATTTTTTTAAATAAAAACATAAATTTTTCAAAATACCCATAATTCAATATATTAAAAAAAAGTGATAAAAATTAATTATAAAAAAAGAAAATATAACATTAAAATTAATGTATTTAATAAAACTTTATTTATTAAAAAAATTTATTTTGAAATGAAAATTTTTTTAAAAAAATATTTTATAATTTAAGATAAAAAAATAACAAAAGTAAAATCATCGAGATAAAGTAATGGGACGACGTGGCATCGAACGCCTGCAAGTGGCCGTCGGGCTTGCTCTTATTTTTCATATTAATTGCTGGTGGGCGTGCGACGATGATGTCATTGTTCTGACATTCAATATATAATATACTGGCATTTTTTTGTCCTTTTTAATTGATGCGATTACAAGTACTCACACTTCATAAATTAGAATAAAATAATGAAGATACATTTGAAAATGCAGAATACTTGCTTTGGAGCATGGTATTATATTATATGAGTGTATAGGTGGGTTCAGATTCTCATGGTTGTTCCTGCAATTAGCTGCTCCATACTCACAATAATGTGTCTGTATCGTATTTGGCATATCCCTGCGCTTCCTCTTCTCACTCAGTATAATCCCTGAATTTCTGGGGACGGATTCCCAAAACATTTGAAATTTTATACCTTATTTGTTTTCAATCTCAAACCATTTTTTTTATATAACACACCTATGGTTTGAAAGGAGGAGAGGGAAGAATAGGGGTTTTAATAAAGGAGAAGGATTTGATGTTATCTTATTTAATTTAAGAGGAGAGAAAGGGAGGAAAAATAATTATATATAAATAATTTTATTTCGTTTTATTAGTTTTGAGATATTGGAGAAGTATATCCGTATTCTTTAAATTTATCATGAAAGGCATATTGGTTAAGGTATAAAAAATTGGGAGGGGACAAAATTCTTCCCTTTCTCTCCAATCAAACGATCCAGGCCTTTATCTATGAGAGGAAAAAGTGGTGTGTGAATTATAGTACAAAAATCCAAGTATTCCTCCCATCAAACCAACACCTTGATCGATTTAATAATATGAATTGTTTATAACTCATTTAATTATGTTTTGACTATATTTTAACTATTAATCCTTAAATCAATGTCATAACTAATTCAATAATCAATTTAATTTATAATATCTTGATGTGAATACATGAAAATTCTATTTAATTAAAAAAAACAAGGTTGCGAATTGGAGCTTCCTTGATGGAAAAAAAAATCTTGTTTAGACTTTAGATATGATATAAAAATTGAGAATATAACCCCATCTTATTGAATCTAGATGGATATTTAAAAAAATATTATATTTTCCAATAAATTCATGCATTATTAATGTAATTGAAACTAAATTGAGAAGGAGAGTGAAATAAGTACTCCTTCCATTAAAAAATGTAAGACATTTTTAAGGAGTTTAATGTTAAAAAATAACAAATATTTTTAATTTTTTTAAAGTATAATCATTCACTTTTTTTTAAAAGTGTTCATATTAAATAAATTATTTTATATTATTTTAAAATAAAATACTCTATTAAATAGGGATAGATATAAAAATATATGATTAATTTAAAAAAAATTAATTACTTTACTTGAGGTTAAATTCAATTAATGATATCTTATATTTTTTAATGGATGAAGTAATATTTTAACAAAAAGAGGGGGTTAAAGTAATGTTAGGTATATATATATGTATATGTATATGTATATATAAAATAATATTAGGTTCTAATTCTATAACTTTGACAAATTTATCCCAAGTTGGCCTTTATCAATGGGAAAATCATTATCAAATCCCACTCAAAGAATTTGATTACATTAGAGCTTTCTTTTTTTTTTTTTTTTGTCAACATTGCATTAGAGCTTCATCAATTTTAGAAATTCTATATCTCAAATATGATATATATTAAATTATTCATTGACATGGAGCTAAATCCTTTCGGCTGACTATTTTTATAAAGATACCATTGATTTAATAATTAAGATGACCCATTGCTATAGCCAAAAAGAAAAAAGGATAATCAATTACTACCTTCATTCAAAAATATAAAATATTTTTAATCGAATTTCACCCTCAATAAGGTAGTTATCTACTTTCAAACTAACATTATCTTTTCATATTTACCCCTATTAAATACTCTACAATAAATATAAAGCCATTATTAATAAGAATACTTAAAAAAAAGATAATGATTATACCTTGAAAAACTAAAAATGTTTTATATTTTTTAACATTCAACCCTTAAAAAATATTTTATATTTTTAAATAGAGGGAATATCAATTAATAAATTTATTCGTCAACGACGAGATAGGATTTTTCATCTCGCTGTAAAGATAAAATAGGATATATATTTTCTAACTTTATCATATTTAGGGGAAGAAAAAAGATTACTCTATTGCTTTATCAATTGGATATATATTATTTAGACTCTACTTTAAAATACCTATAAATAGAGATTAGGTAGACAGACTCCATACGTCTATAGTGAATTGAACATTTGACATTAGTATAGAATTTATTTTTTTATAAGAAACTTTTAATATTAGTTAAAAGGTGCCTCTTATTAAAAATAAAGACGATAACATTTTTATAATATTTGTAATCATTGTAAGACTTTTAATATTAGTTTAAAATTAAACTACTGTAAGAAAAAACTTTAACATCGGGTGTAATTTAACCCAATGTCAAAAAATTTTAAAAATTTAAAATAAAATAAAATTGTTTACTTTCAACAGTAAGGATGTGGCACCCGTTGTTGAAATTTTTTCAAAACATAAAAAAAAAAAGAACTTGCCCAACTTGCATTGCCTCGCTTCTTCATTTCCTCTCCATCCCTTCATCTTCTTCTCCCCCTCCCTTCATTAGCCCCCCTCCCCTAACTCCCCTCCTCCTTTCCCCCTCATCACTCGGCCTCCTTCTTCACTCCTCCTCCTTCTTTCCCTCTCATCACTTGGCCTCCCTCTTTGCTCCTCCTCCTTCATTCCTCTATCCAGGTAATTGTCCCTTTCTTTTTTTTTAATTATTAATTTATACAAATTATTTATTATTTAATTATAGTTTTATTTTTAATTATTAATTCATTAATTATTATTGAATTACTTTTCTTATTATTTTTATGTAAAATTGTTATTGTTGTTGTTATTTTTGGATGTCTAATGTTTAGGAAAAATATGTCAAAATTTTATTGATATTTACTGTTGCCAGAAGTGCTGTTATTGGCTTTATAAGGCCTTAAATTATTGCATGCGATTACTTATTTAGTATAAAATTATAAATTTTTTCTTGCAAAATTTTTTAAAATTTTTGGGAGGTCCAATTTTTAAATTTTTTAAATTATTTTTTCTAAATTACTTAAAATCATAAATTAATTAGGAATTTACATTTTTGAAATAATTTGAAGACGATAAAATGCACAATAATTTTATTCTCCTTTAGGTAGTAACATATGGATTATAGTTAGATGAATGCTAGATAAACAAGTAATGTGTATGCTAATAGGGTGAAGGAGTTTTTGAAATTTGCTAAAAAATTGTTGTTAACAATAGTGAAAGGTTTTATTATCCTTGTATAAATTGCTTGAATGAGAGAAAACTAAGTGTTGTCAAAATAAGAGAACACTTAATTTGTGATGGGATTTGTAAGAATTATACGGTACGGATTTGGCATGGTGAATGATTGAAAAATTATAGCAGTACGTCTCAATATATGGAAGTTGATCATAATCTTAATGATGAAGTAGATATGGATGAAGATCGATTAAAAGACATGATCTATAATGTTAAGGAAGAGGCCTTTGAATGAGCGCATGTGTATGATAACTTATGCACCGATGCAAAGAAGCTTTTATACTTGGGGTATATTGATTTCAGTCTATTGTCTGGAGTGTTAAAATTAGTCATGTCAAAGGCAAGAGTTGGGTGAAGTGACCATAATTTTATATGATTGCTAGAGCTACTCTAAATAATATTTTTAAAAGAAATGTACTATCAAATTGTTATTATGATGTTAAGAAAATCTTGCACCTAATGGGTATGAATTTTACAAAGATGCATGC